AGTGTGTGTGTGTGTGTGTGTGTGTGTGTGTGTGTGTGTGTGTGTGTGTGTAAAAAGTATAAAATAATAAATATATGTATATATATATGTATGTACATACATATGTATGTAAAATAATAAAAATTCACCACAATCTTATACTTCTTTGAAGTCAAGATAAACTGATCAGTTCCTTCATTAAGCAATACCAGTGTTACCTGATCAGATGCATTTAATAACACCAGATTTACTTACTCCAGATAAACATTTTTATTATGAATAAATTAATTTTAGTTGGCTTTTGAAACACCATTCCAGACTAAGATCCATTCTTGATGAAGATTTTTGTAAGATGACTATATTACAGACAGATATTCGTGCAAAAGGCTAGAGAAATTAATTGTAAATCTAACTATTTTATAACAAATTCAAAGGACAGATAATAACTTGGGGATTATGCTGCATTTGGGCCAAGCGGGACATAACAAGCATTTTCATGCTTGAAGGCAGGATTTGGGACTAAGTTGAGTCTCCTGTTTCCATTGTAGGAGCATAGAGGGTATATCTTGGAACTAATGTCCTTGGATGGTAAGGGAGGATGGAAACTACAACATTCCCCACCTCCCAGCCCTACCTTATCCTGCATTTTGAATGCCGTCCCGGTGGCCTATTTGTGGCTGAGCATCTGAGAAGACCACAAAGCCACCTTTCTAGCCCTGGAAGGTAGCTGTTAAAATAATAGAAAAAGAGGATGTCAAAATTTAAACATAGAGAAAACTGACCCCAGAATCAAGAAATGACATTGCCCCATGCTCCATAGCCAGGTGGGATACACAATACAAGAAAATTAGGGACAAACAAAAGAAAATTAGGTAAAAATAAATACTGAAGAATATTCACATTTAGCTGTTTAAGTCAATGGAACTCCATGAGGCCACAGGGGTGCGTGGATCCAATTGTAAGATCTTGTCCTATGTCTTTAGCAGAGTTAAACTTTTTGCTTTACACTTGGCTCAGAAACAGTTTCAAAATTAAAAACAAAATTACCTGAATTTTCTGTTTAAAATACAATTTATATCTCCTCTTAATATGTTTTATATATGTGTAGGCACTTGGAGGTGTCCCAGGAAGTCAGCCATTATTGCCCAGTGGGATGGACCCAACACGACAACAAGGTAAAGTGCCTGTTTACTAGATGTGAAATGTATGTTCAGAATATCAACCTTTTTTTTTCTTTTAGAAAGGTTCTGCATCCCAAACTTGCATCCAGCACCTCTTCTTTTAAAGTCCACTGCAGCTGCTTAAATGCTTTTCAAACCATGAAGCAATAATTTGTCAATAATTTAGAAGTGTTTTTATGCACCACAGTTGTTAAAGTTGTTAATTTTTTTCAGGGCATCCAAACATGGGTGGGCCAATGCAGAGAATGACTCCTCCAAGAGGAATGGTTCCATTAGGACCACAGGTACCTTGCATAAATATGTGTGTCTATATTTACAGTTCACATACATATGATATTTTAGAGTCCTTTTTGTCACAGCTGTACTAGAATTAAAGTTGAAATATGTCAGCACTTTTCTTTCTAATAACATTTTTAAGGGATTTTCTCTCTATCATAAAAATATATTCTCAGTTAAAACTTGACAAAGTCGCGAACTATAAAGAAAATTTATTTTATTTACAAAATTTTATAAAGACTGATTTAATTTATTTTGAATGATACAGCTGTAATTCAAATAAAAAGGCTTACGTATTTGTCCATATAACTCTAAAACATTCAGAAAACTTAAGTTTATTCCACAATTAATGCATATTATGGTCTAAGTCTAGGATTTTCAAAGGTGCCTAAGCAGTTGGCTCAGGCTCTTTTGAAAATCCTAACCTTATTGTTTATATTATTTCGGAGGGAAAATTAGCCCCACAATACAGCTAAAGTATTCATAATTTGTGTAGCAAAAATAAAATTAATTAATTTTTATAACGATCTTTCTCTAGCCACTAAACTTCTGATCACAAATTCCGCACTCTAGATTTTTTGGCATAAGATTTTAAATGTACACAATTACTCATACTGCATGTGGATGGTGCCTGCATATCACCTGCAAATACCAATTGTTAGCCTTGTCTTTCTAGATCTGTTTTTCAAGAAGAGCAGCAAGCTTAAGTATCTGGGTTCAGCCGTCCTCCCACTGCTGACCTGGTTATAGTTACTTATATAGATCCTCCTTCACCAAGGGTGTGAAAGTTTTTTAGTAAAAGTTTATATATTTTCCACTTGCAAGAATGAAGTCAAGTGGAAATTAAATCCATTCTGAAATATCTCCAAAAGGGTTAGCCCAGTGGATTGTCCATTGCTTATTATCACTTTTCCTCTGTAAGTCAGGTCTCTAACTTTGTTTTTTTGCTTGTCTAGCCATTTTGGCCTTGCATCTTATTCTGAAGAATATTTGGGTTATGTTCATCCCTCTACACTTTGATTTCTTCATTCAGATATTTTCCCTAGTGACTTCTCTGTTCAATGGGATCTACCTTTAGTTTTGAATAACTAGGTAGCTCTTTCTTTTTAACCCATGTCTCTTTTTGGTAGTAACCAATTCTGCATTGTAACCAACAAAAATGTGTATAAACATATGTTGGTTTTTCTACAGCACTTCAGTATTTCTGCCACTTGCTTTTTTGTGGTGGAAAGTTAAGCTTTGCGGTCATGAATTTAAGCTCACACTTTATGCTAGCATTATTAGCTACACACAGTAGGCAAGTCTGATATAAATTTTAGCAAGGATGATTTTCAGTTTTATTCTCTTTAAAACTGGAGGGGACTATGTAATTCTCACAGACCTGAGTTTTCCAAAGTAGTCTTTTCTATAGATACATGCTTATCTATTATCCTTCTCACTTGCCTGGGGGGGGTCTTCTGAGCAAACAGTTTTAATAACTTGAAGGGCGAGTTAACTTACAGGGCCTTTCATGCCCACTATAAGGGCCATTTAGACTGCCAGAGAGTGTAAAGCTGCTTTAGGCTTAATCTACACTAGGAGGGTTTTGCTGGTTGTACTATAGTGGTATAGTTAAACTGCAAAACCTCTTGTGGTGTACACACAGTTATATTGGTATAAAAGTGCTTATACCAGTATAGCTTATGTCAGTTTATGTCAGACTTAGGCTACATCTACACTACGGGGGGGGGGGTCGATTTAAGATACGCAAATTCAGCTACGCAAATAGCGTAGCTGAATTCGACGTATCGCAGCCGACTTACCCCGCTGTAGGGACGGCGGCAAAATCGACCTCTGCGGCTTCCCATCGACAGCACTTACTCCCACCTCTGCTGGTGGAGTAAGAGCGTCGATTCGGGGATCGATTGTCGCTCCCGACGGGACGCGATAAATCGATCCCCGAGAGGTCGATTTCTACCCGCCGATTCAGGCGGGTAGTGTAGACCCAGCCTTATACTAGGACTTTTACCAGTATAACTATGCTGGCAAAAAATCATACCCCCTTACCAAAATAGCAATGCCAGTAAAACTTTTTAGTGTAGACTTTTTAGTGTAGACCTGTCCTTCACGTAAATGAGATTAAGGCACACAAAATATAAAAAAGTTATCTAAATACCATATGTCATGGTGACAGGCCATATTTGAGCTAGATATCAAGTTTGGACTGTACACTAGTTTTGATTTTGCTGTCCAGTTTGTTTGGTGTTAAGACCTATATTCTTGTGTGTTAGGGGGCTTATTCCTTCACCTTCTCACTTCCCTGGTCCTTCTCGCATGAACAGAGAGCAACAGTACCCAAAGTCCGAAGGTGCAAACAATTCGATGTTTATTGGGGTGAACTTCCAGCAAGCATGATTCCAGTTTCCTTCCTCAGTGTCCCCCTTCCCAGCTCTGACGCCACAGAGCCTTGCCTGTGTCCCTGTTCCCATTCCCCCCCCAGCGAAACATGATTCCAATTCCCCCACCCCCATTCCCTGTTCCCATTCCCCCTTTACTTCTTGATTGACTGCAGACTATAAATTTGAGTTCTGCTTAGCTATATCTTAACTAATCATTTTACTGAAATTTAACTAACCAATCCTAACATATTGTAACATGATTATTTAACCAATTATATCCCACCACGTTAATTGGTTTACACCCAACAAAATTAATTATACAGCAGACAGAAACAATCACAGAACCAGACTGAGATTATACAGACAAACAATAGGGAAGTGGAGACTACAGTGATAGAACAATACATAAATGAGGATTTTACACCCCAGCTATTGATAAGTGAGTTCTTGCCAGACGGGATGCTATCAAACTAAGTTTTCTTTAAATCTTTTAGGCTCTTCCCTTTCTCTGGAGGCGATAGATCGGATCACCTTTCTAACAGTCCCAGAGTGCCTTATTTCCATGTGACTAGTTTGGAATGTGAGGATGTGACCGTTCACTTCCCAGCTTATGGCTGCCTCTGCTGCTTAGCCAAAGACCTTACTTAGCCTAAGAACAGGGCCTTAGACTGTCACAATGAGAAAAGGCCCTTACACCGGCAGACAGTTATTTTGATTCTTTCTTTTATACCTCTATAACCAGCTAAGTAATAAGAATACACCTAAATTCTTAAAGTATAGGCCTTTGCACACAGGCCTGAATATCTATATCCTAACATTGTGCTTGGGACAGGGAGACTGAAAACACAAGTATGTAATTTTTTTACATTTTATTTTAAGTGACTTCTCCCTGGTTTAAGAGTTGGCCATAGGTACTGTAGTTAATTTTTGGATAATGACTGACAAACAAAAAAACAAAATACTGTGAAAGGGAAAAGGAAAATAAAACAAGGAAAAATAACTAAACAAAAACAACTTTGTTAAACCCTGCTTCTAATTGTTAGTCAGACTCCTTCATTCTTCACTGTTCTCCAGATTCCTCTCTTCATCCATCTTCTCCTCTTAGATTTCCTTCTTAGCAGCAGCTGTCCCAGATTTACCCTAATTATTTTCTTTCATCTTCAGCAACAGGCAAGCAGTTGTATATAATTGTAAAGGTTTATGTTTACTAAATGTGCCAAATGATTTTAATCTGATTTCTCTCAGTTCAAGTTCAGTAAGGACACCTGACTAAAATGCTTCCAGTTGAGAACTCCTAGTGAGTTCTATAAAGATCTTAGGCCCACAGACTTGGTTCCTTTGTCAAAATAAAGAAAAGAAAAAACAGGAAGACGCTCCAAAGAAGAAAGGTGGCTCAGATCTCTGAAATAAAGATGGGAAAAATAGAATTAAATAGCTTCACAGTTCCTCCAGAAATGGATGTCATTTTGGTACTGTTTTGGTACAGGGAGACACCAAAAACATGAATATTTAGAGGGGAACGCAAGGTAGCATTCCAATTGTTTCAGAATTAGCTTATTAGCTAGATACACAAACCCATTCATGCAAGCCATCTATGTCTAGAACTCCCATGGGCTTCAATAGGAATTCTAAACAAGGAGCACTTGCAGGTTTGGTTTCTAGTTTGCAACAAGAGAACCTACTCCCAGAAGTCCTTTCTTGGTTCACTTGAAATAAGTTTTTTGTAATTGAAATATCTCTTTTCACTATGACACATGAAATATAGTATCAGGTCTACATTTTAAATCTTATTGTCAGATTGCTCCCTGGTCTGCATAATTTAATGCTCAAATACCCTAGAGCATGGATTTGTGTAATAGACTGCTTTGGAGAACTCCAGTTAAAGTTCAGTAATCCAGTTATAATATAACTAGAGTGAGTTGTAGTTACATTATTGCAAAACAGATAACAATAATGACTTTGAGGACATTCTGTTCTCTTAAGTAAATGATTGTCTGCCCGACTTCCTCAAAACACACTATTTTACTTTTTAGAAATTGCTTTATTATACATACATTTGCCTAAGATATCAGAAAAACTCAGTAGGACTGGTACAGTTTCTGCAATGAATGATATATGTGGGGTAAGGCAGGTTGTTCTATTTACATTTAACTGAAAAAATTGACTAAATAGTTCAGTCTTTCAGGAAAATAGCACAATGTCTAGGCTTTTGTCAGTTTATGTCATGATCTAAATCTTATTTGAGCACACACATTGGCTTTATCTATAATAGGGCTTTGGATAGCTCATTTATAGACATTTCTATGGCATCCATTATACTATCTGAATAATTTTCATGTTAGTTGCCTTAGATTGGTTACAAGAGGAGTATAGCAATCATTTTATGTGTTATAGAAATGAAATATAGTGTAATATTTTCCCATTGAAGTTATTAATACCCTGTTCATTAACCAGGTTCAATTAAAAATAATTCTATCTGAATTCCAAACTGTGAACCCCCCCGAAAAAAATCTATTTTTCTGTCTTTGAATGAGTTTTCGTGGTATGAAAGTTGAACGGTTATTGATTCTGACCTTTGTTGACCATTGAGTTTGCTACCATGTATCATAAATCTTCATGGAACAATTAGCATTTTAAGTATGCTTAGTACACATACATTTTTAAGAACTGTTAATATGTGTAGTGTACTAAGCGTACTACTTTTTCATTAGGGATAAGAATTCTTTTTTTAAGTCAAGAATGGAAACTCCTGAAAGAATGAATCACACTGGCCTATCCAATCAACTGGTGTATTGGGAAGTCATTAACCTGCTGTCCTTTCTTTCCCCCTCCTCTTTGGTTTTGTTTTTTTGTTTTGTGGTAGTCTGACCCTTGGTTATCATTGCAGAACTATGGAGGTGCAATGAGACCGCCACTGAATGCTTTAGGTGGCCCTGGAATGCCTGGAATGAACATGTAAGCAAAATAATAAACTACTATCACATTTATAAAAGTAATCTTTTCCTGTTAAAAGAAAAAATAATTGTGACATACATAGGACAAAGGAGAATGTATTTTGATTAATTAACTAATATTAACATTTGTGACAAAGTAAGGAAACATCACAGCAGTTTCACTCTTGGGCAAAGCATCTTTTACAGAATTATTTGTTTTTTCCTTCCAAGGCTCTCTAAATGTTGGGTTTGTTCTACAGGGCAGGGTTCATATATTTGGAATATCTTGTTAGTGTGGCCCACCGTATTCATCTGTAGATTTGTAAAGAGCCTTGACATTAGTTAGGTTTGAATGTTTATTTCACTGATTTAATAGTACAAGAGTTTGCCATCAATTCATACTCAGAGAGAACATTTTAAAGAATAGTAAGGTTATGATTCACATCTGCAAAAGCAAGGAAGTGCATAGTATGGACAGAAACACACCATTGTCTTTAAATACATTGTCACAAAGGATACACATTAAAAAAGGAAGGACCGGATTCTCTATTCTTTTATATTGGTTTTATGCTAATATAATCAATGAAGTTACACAACATAAAACCAGTGTTATGGAGTGGAGAATCAGGCATGAGACATTTTAGTGTACTATGTGGCATTCAAGGACTTCTGGGGCTAGATACTCAGTTGGTAAACTGATGTACACTGATTTACATCAGCTATGGACTGGGTCCATGGAGTATAGTCCTCTCTTGATATATGTAGATAACTCCTATTTTCCAAGCCTCCAGAGCAACTTCAGATGTCAAACCACTGTTACTGGGTAGAATAAGTTGAAGTTGCACCAAAGCTAAGGCTTTCAGTGCAACTCTCCATTATTAGCTCCCCCAGTGCAAAGTACAGCCCCTGCCGGCATTGCTCCACGCCTGCCCCAGGCTTGAAGTTTGGAGAGGGATGCTGCCTCCTACCCCCCAAACTACGCCATGTTTAAAAGTAGGGGGCATGGCCCCCTGGTGCCCCCGGTTCCAGCACCACTGGCCCTCCTCGCTTCTACGAAGGTTCCAGTGCCCTTGCTTCAGCACCATACTTCTGGTTGAGTTAGAAGAGTGTTTCTTAACAAGTTGGTCATGACCTCCAGGAGGGTCATGAAAGGTAATCAGGTTTGCAAGGAATCAAAAATGTTATTACAATGTAAAGCAAGGGAAATCTCACTCCCCTCTCCATACACACCCTTACCCTTCAACAGACTGACAGAAAGACACACACCAAGGCTTATCATTAATATATTTTTACTTACTTTTATAGTAAATTGGAAGGAAATCATGAAAGTTTTTTACTGCAAACAATGTGTCGCCAACCTGAAAAGGCTGCAAAACACTGAGTTAGAACACATCTTGCAGAGAGACATCTGATCTTGATTTAAAGATTTCAAGTAATGAAAGATCCACCACATCTTAGATATATTGTTCTAATCTTCAGGTAGATCTTGCATTTTTGAAGCAAATAAAATAAATTTAAGGTTTGTGTTACTTTACTACAGATGTCTTCTGTTGCACTCAGGACAATTATTGGAAATTAATGTAGATAAAATAACTAGATATTTGAAATCAAGTGTAGGTACAACACAAATTGTAGAAAGAGTCTCAAGAAAGAGATTCCAACAAAGGAAAACAAAACTAAACTATTCATTACAAAATTTGTTGCTATTTAATAACAAAAAATTAGAAATAGAAGCAAAAAAAGTATTTTGAGGATACTTGTACACATGAGACCTTAAACAGAAAACAGGAAAAACGGACAAACAGATTGCTATCTCAGAAAGGAGCTCCTCACCTGCCAGTTAGCGGAAAATGAAACAATCATGGTTGAAGTACGACTTCTATCGCTCAGCAGTAGGCAAGCACACTTTTTCTTGTGTTGAGACAGTTACACATGGCTAGCTGTAACACCGTCAGACCCCGATCATTGGGATTGAACCTGGAACCTCTAGAGCTTAGTGCATGAGCTTCTACTGCATGAGCTAAAAGCCACATGGCTCTTAACTAAGGCAGTAGAGCAGACTCATTTAACTCTCTCTAAGGGGTCTCAGTGCCACTAGATGGGACAGAACACCACATCCAGGAGGTATGTGGGTTATACAGCCACACAGTGAAGAGGGAGGGAAGAAGTGGCTTTCTTCCCACCTTGCACATAAGAGTTACCCAGAATTGTAGCTCCTGTACTTGAAGTACTCAGGAGCGTCTGTATGACATAAAGAAGGCATAATGTAGCCAGTCATAGCTCCTTCTCCCCATGCTTCAGCCAAGCATATGCTATGCTCCTTAAAGGCTGTTGGTAATTAACCTCCCTCTAGTGCAGGGGTAGGCAATCTATGGCACGCGTGCCGAAGGCAGCACGCAAGCTGATTTTCAGTGGCACTCACACTGCCTGGGTCCTGGCCACCGGTCTGGGGGGTTCTGCATTTTAATTTAATTTTAAATGAAGCTTCTTAAACATTTTAAAAACCTTATTTACTTCACATACAACAATAGTTTAGTTATATTATAGACTTATAGAAAGAGATATCTAAAAACGTTAAAATGTATTACTGGCACGCGAAACCTTAAATTAGAGTGAATAAATGAAGACTCGGCACACCACTTCTGAAAGGTTGCCAACCCCTGCTCTAGTGCAACTGAAAATGGGAGCAAAATACCTGTCATTGTTCTTCTGGGTGGCATGGCTTCACACGACCCTTACCGCAGACTGTGCCTTAAAGGCACAAGCTAGCCCAGAGTGCTGGTATTAGAAAGCTATGCTTTAGGGTATTCTGATCCCTGTCATATGCTGGATCCTGGACCTTGGAAAGGAGTTCTATTATATCTCTTGCCTTCAGAGAATATGATTTATCAGTAAGAAATTTTTCTCATATTATCAAAGTGAGTAATTTTTCTCTTATCAAATGGAGTTACGTACACATATCAAAAGGAGAATAGAGGCTAAACTCTGTATTTTTTGCTTTTGCAGGACATGAAGTGTGAGGTCCAACCTTAAAGTTATTAATGTCACTTGTGCATGAATTTCTTTATCATATAAGTCCTTGTACTGTGATATTATAGCATAGATGTATTGTACATATTAACACTAACATTCAGTTTCAGTTATAGAGAGCATCTAAGGATAATCCACATCCAGTAGCAGTAAATGGACCCAGATGTTTTAGCGATTCCTCCTTTAGATTATCCCTTACAACTTATGCAATGCACGATGCTAAGCAACATCTGTGTACCTTATCTTCTGTACTTGTATTTCCATAAAAGATGGCAGCTTCCTTATTGCCTTATGCAGGGTGCATAGTTTAATTTGCATTTCCTTTTATGCAGGCATAAACTTTTTTGAGTTCAATGGGTTTGTCTCTCTGGCAGCATTAAAATATGAAGAAGTAGCTATTCTGCAAAGCCAACAGCCATTTTAAAGTGTAATGTCTCCTCTGTAAGCAATTAGGGGTACAACTCAAAAGGAAACTGTCTTGGTAGAATGCTAAATATCTACCAAATATCATTTTTGAGATTTTTCCTGGTGTTGCTTTGGCTAAAAATAGTGCATATTATATAATCTGTTATAACAACAAAACTAGCCTGAGAATTTATAGACAGTGTTTCAACCCCAAAGGACATTTTTTTTAGTAGATGTAGCATTGAAAAATAATTGCTTACATAGCCTAAACTTCAGTATTTAAAATGTGATATATATTTGTTTCATGCATCTTTTTAAAGAAAAAATAATTACAGTGAAATCTGCAAGTGTCCATGTCAGAGTTTTCATTGTAAACTCACTTCTAAGGGATCTAAATCTCATCTGTAGAACTTTAAGCCCAAACTTGGCATGATAAGTCTTTGTAAGACAGTATTTTCTCATACAAAATGGGAGCAAAATAGCAAATTTCAGGGGATAATGTTACAGTTCATAAGCTTATTTTAATGGCCAGTATGAACCAGACTTTTTTATAAGGTGCTAAGAATGTTTCGGTATATACCTGAAGAGAAAAAGAATTTCCATTCACTTTTTAGCTCATAAGCTTCCTTTATAGAAAAGCTAAAACACACACAAAAATAGGTAATCAGGCATTTGGTTTAACTTATTCAATATTTTGATAGAATACAGTCACACATAAGGAAACTGAAATATTGAACATTTTTTCAAATACTAGTACAAATAAAAAATTTTAGACTTATTTTCAAGATGGCAATGAAAATCGATGTCTCCTGATTCACTGAAGGAAACATCTGGGTTAGCGTTAAAGGGGTCCTCAAAGAGGTAACATCCAATAGTTCTGTAAAAAATGAAAGTATGGAAATGATGACTGTGTTTCTAAAGAATGCTATTGTAATTAGACATATGAGTCTTCTATATGTAAAAGATTATATTGTGAAACTGGTACATTAATAGTAATGTTTTATGAATATGTTGAGAGTTCCATAATAAACATTTATTAGAAGGGGGGATGGGGAAGCTGCTCACATTGCTTTAAAGAACTTTGCAGCTGGCTAATTTTAAAAAACAACCAATATTCTACTCCATATAATCATATACCTCCTGGGCAGAGTCTGCCTTGGTGCTTTTTGTAGCTTTCTACATAGAAGTTTCTCCTATGATTTCTAGTAAATTTGCAAAATCCAGTACCTTGTCCGATGCAAGATGAGCTTTCACTTAGTCTGCTTCATACTTTTTAAGTATTTACATTGATCCAGATGTAAGAGGGTGGTGAAACACTGGAATGGGTTACCTAGGGAGGTGGTGGAATCTCCATCCTTAGAGGTTTTTAAGGCCCGGCTTGACAAAGCCCTGGCTGGGATAATTTAGTTGGTGTTGGTCCTGCTTTGAGCAGGGGATTGGACTAGATGACCTCCTGAGGTCTCTTCCAACCCTAATATTCTATGATTCTGTGTATTCTGTGTATTTTTCTTTATGTCACATTCAATTTTTTGGGGTGAAAACAAAGTTACAATATTCTCACATACACACTTTCTTGTATTGGAGACAAATAAATTTAAAGCTTAATTATGAGAAACAATAATTATTTTTATTAAACAAATTATAGATGGTATTATAGATACGTAGTACATAAATGCTTACTACAGTCTTAATTTAGAAAGAAATTTAAGCCTGTATACAGCTTGCATGCTTAAAGTTAAATACATGTTTTAGTATCTTTCTGAATTGGGCCATACTGTAGGTAGACATTCACAGCATATGTAGTACTGGCTCCAAATTTGTATTATGGTGTCAGTAACCAGAATACAACTAAAAATACTCCTTATAAGGAATCGATTGTCTTGAATCTTATCAATAGCACATTTTACTGTCTTTTTAATATTACTATACTATAATGATTCAATTAAACCATAAAATGTTGTGTTTATATAACATTGGGCCAAATTCTCACCTGTGCAGGAAAAGAAACTATATAGGGGCACAAACTTACTTTTTTTTTCAAGTCATGCTGTTGGGGTCGTGGGATTTGCAGAATACTCAGGAGGGTTGGATCCCTAATTGGCAGGTATCTATGATCTGTGCAAAACTCCAGTATCTCCCACACTGCTTTCTATACCACTGGGATCAAAGCTCTGAAGGAGTTGTTGTCATGTAGTTCCTAGCAGATGGTGTCCTGAAAAGTACAGAAGTCCACAATATATGATTTAGCCACTGAGATATGTCTAGATATAACTGGTGAGCTTGTGGTGACAGACATAATTTTTTAAGAATAATTTTGTAGTATCTGCTAAACTGTTGAAATGCTGGTGGTAGTTTAGCTATGATGAACTTGTATTAGTTTAACATTATAACAAGGTATATTTGTAGTTTATAATCACACTTTACTGCAGTGAAAAATGATGATGCTACCAGAAGAGGCCAGTAAAAGATAGCAGTTTTTAAAAAAGCATATTCTACACTGGGAACAGTTTGTGGTCAAGTTACACCATAGAGCATCTGATGTTTGGCTTCTTGGTAGCAGAGTTGATCAGAAACCAAACTTTGATTAAACCCTCATTTGTCATTTTATATTCCAGGGGTCCAGGAGGTGGTAGACCGTGGCCAAACCCAACGAATGCCAATTCTGTAAGTAAATATTTAAGTGTGTTGGACAGGAGTTATTCCGTCTTAATATGCCCATGTATGGAAAAAAAACCTATATTCAGCAAATAGAATAGTGCATGCCATATTTTGTTGTCCTCTGTACTGTTTTTTTTTTCCAACCCTGATGCATGGGTTCTCCAGCTTTTTTTACAGTATGGACCACATCTTAATAGAGCGCTTCTAGTAGATCACCTTTCCTCCCACTCATGATTGTGCAGACCATCTGCTCTCCTGTTCATAATCACATAACAGCCCTGAGGCAACTACAGCAAATTGCCCAAAGGAAAAATTAACATTAGCATAGTATTTAATATATTTTTAGCTTTGTTAATGCAATATAACAAAATAGAATAGGAGTCAGTACCATCTGACCAACCAGCTCTACATAGACCACAGTTTGATAAGGTGCTCTCTAATGTATTGTCACATGGCTTATATATGGAAAAAAACACATTAATTTCTGTACCACTCAAATCATAGTGTAATTTCTCAAAACATGATCCATTTGATAGGTTGAACAATTTAATTTTGGCCATCATGAAAAGTAATACACTCTCCAAATTAGTAGGCTGCAACAGCTACAAAATGAGGTTGTTCAATAGCTGCTTAGGACAAGAACAGTTTGGTAATGCCCACCCTCCATGACTTGCCCTGGCTGGTACCCTACAGAAGGTAATTCACAGTTCAAGGGGTTAGTTTTAGAAAGCACAGTGAAACCCTTCCTAATCTGTACCCAAAGTACTTGAGTGAACATGTATCATCATATATCCCTACTTTGCATTTACAGTAGGCTAGGGTGGATCTGCTGTTACTAGACTCTATTTCTGGCTGTCCCTAGGACATGGTATATCAAGTTTATCCTTGACTGGGATATATATATTTATTTATATATTTATTTATTGGTGGATCGGAAGAGGAGTGTTTCCTATGTTTTTTTGTTTTGATTTGTATTTGCTATCCTCTTGTGTATTCCTTTTCTATGTAGGAATTGATCCTTGTAGTTTGATAGAATGGCTTCTGTGTGGTTTGCCATTGTGCCAGATCTTTGGGTTCAGATTGGCTGTATATTTGGATAAACTATTTCCTCATTTTGACTTTAGTGGTGTTTGCTGATTATTGTATATGTAATGCAATAAATGTTTAAAATAAATTTTAAAAGGGGTAGATTATGAAAGTCACAGGGGAGTTAGGTGCCCAACTTTTATTGAGCACTGAGTGCTTAACTCCCTCTTCTTTATTTGAAAATCTCCCCCTACATATTTTCTCTCTCTCTCTGGGTTATGCTTACCTGTCATATAATTCAGAGGTACAGCTCAATTTACAGTAATATTAACTTTGTGGAATGTGGATCATGATATGCTAATATTAAATCTTATATATACACTCAAAATAAAAAGTACACAAAATCTATGACAGTGTGAACTGAGGCTGGCAGTTTTTCATAATAATAATGTACAAAAAGAAAAAGAGCTCAATGTTGCATGACTGAGTTACAAATAAGTAAATGTAGGCCTTAACTTGCATTTTCCCAGCTTTTAGTGTGACAGCCTTAATATTCTTTTTTTGTTTTAGATGTCTTGATTGTTTTTAAATAAGGTAGAGAAGATTATTCTGCCAAGGAATTTTATGTTTATTAAATTCAATATGCAAGTACATGCAAGAGACCAGATATAGACCCTGATTCATGAAAACACTTAAGTACATAAGCAAGTCATTGGAATTTAAGCACATGCACAAGTGCTCTCTTGAATATGGATATTTTCCTGAATTGTGATCTTTGGCATTGACTTAAAATATGCATTATCTACCTGATTAGAATGAAATCAGGGAAATAGTTACAGTATTTAGGCAGAATTTTAAAACCCACTAAATAGAAATTAGTCCTTTGAAACTATTGTAATCTTACATGAAAGTACACATCTAGGACATGCCCTATGCATATTTTAGTTACTAATCTTTAATTAAGATTTGTTGACATTTTCTTTCATAAGCAGGAAAAAGGGGGTTTCAGAGCATACAAAATAAGAGAATACAGTTTAAGTAGTTCAGATTATGGTTTGCCTTAAGCCTATAGTATATGCTGATTTTATAAAAGTTATATCAGTGATTGTTTTAAATGAGTTTATGTCACCTGCTCTATATTTCATCAAATAGTTTAGCTGTTAACCTTATATATGTAGCTCCATAGGTCTTTCCATTTAAAACATACCTACCAGAAAAACGTGCCCCTCCTCCCCCAACCAAAAAAAAAAAAAAAAAAAAAAAAAAAAAAAAAAAAAAAAAAAAAGGGGAAAAACTTTGTTTTTTAAAAATTTTTTTAAAAAAAAAAAAAAAAAAAAA